GGCCTATATAAACTAACAGGGTAGGATGAAATGAACTGTTCTGGATAGGAATGATAGGACGGGGCCGACACGATCGATCCGCCGGTCCTGTCCAGTCATCAGCTCATGTCCAACCCGGTTTTATAAAGGGAAGAGGCATATGTTAGACTATTCTCTTGACAATTTCGTATTCTTGGAGTTGGACCTACCATACAAGCTAAATAGATTCACTGCTCAACTTTTCTAATCTAAAATAAAATAGAGTAATTTAGATTAGAGCTTCAATTATTGTTGAACTATAATAGGTATGCAGAGCCTTTGGTTGATAGCCAAATTTTGGTTGCCAAAACTTGTGAAAGTAAAGTTTTTTTTGTCTCTATTTGGTTTGTTCCCAAAATTTGCCAACATCTCATACTTAACTTCCCAAATCTGTGTCTAATATTTTTGCCCAATTCTTAGTAACTTTTGATTGACAAATCTTTGGCAGGCCCGGCTCTAGGGTGAGGGCAGCCGGTGCGACCACTGGGGGCCAAGGAGCTAGGGGGCCCAAGAGCATACAGGTAATTAGTAGATATAATTTCTTATTTGGCATTAGCTTTCAAAGGCCGAACAAACATCAGCCCATGCTGTACCATACCTACCTATTTCTATACTACCGCGCAGACTGCGGATCAAGAGAGGAGCTAGCGTTCGTTTTCCGCCGGCGCCGGCGCTTCCTGTTCTTGCTCATGGACGTGGACGCGCTATTCTTGCGTGGAGACGCCGACTCACCCGACATGGTCGCCGACTCGCCGACGCACCGCACACCGGCACACCGCCGTGGTGCCGCGACGGCGCAAGCTGCAACTGCATGCAAGGACGGCGAACAGCAGATGCGATCACAGTAAGCAACCCCAACATGCCAATAGCCATGACCGATTAGTATTTTCCAATTTCCAATTTTTTACTTGGACCTCTGGAAGCTAGCGCCAGGGACATTACCGTATTGAAGCCTATTTTTTCTTATTTGTTTAATTGTTTTGTGTATGTGCTTTACTTGTACAGAAATAGGGTTATAAAGTTCTAATTCAATGTATTTATTTAGATACTTATTAGATGCTGCCTAAGAAGCATTTGTCGAGCGCTCATAAAAGTAAAATATTGGGAAGAATGTTTTGGACCACATTGATCTTTATATTGTTCTTAAAGATTTTACATCAATAAATGCCTAAAGACGATTTTTTACAAGGCACTGAAGCATTATATTTTTATTTGAGGTAATCATAACAATTATTGTTCTTTTTTAATTTTCTTGTCATACTATCGTTATCTTTTATACAAACTAAGTATATGCTGCAAATTAACTTTTATTATTTGGTCTTTACATAGTTCAACAGGTCCTTATCATCTTGCTTGCCCAAGGGCCCTTAAAATTGTAGAGCCGGCCCTGATCTTTGGCTTGGCAAATTATGGAAGTCAAGAAAGTATGCCCGCAATAACCGTCGCATTTGAATACAGAGCAATAATATTTGCTTGAGACTCCAGACATGACAAGGGGGTATGACCTCCCTTCTCTGCATAGAGCTGGCTGGTTTTCGCATCTGAAAACAGCGTAGGATTTAGTAGTCACTATAGTACAAACATACAACCACGAGTACTCCTGTAGTACTTTCTTCAGTTTTCACATGGGAATGTATGTTACCTGTAAGCAACGGAATATTCACCGTTGCCAATCTTCTATGAGCACTTTTCGTCTCAAAGTGACAGTCGAAACTTCCGCCACTGCTATTTCACCGTTGCCACTTTCTACAGTTTCGACTGCCTGAAGACGGGATGAAGGCAATTTCACAACTGTAATCCTTTCCTTACTGCCACTGATCACTTGTATTTTTTTTTTTTCTGAATTCATGAATGAACCACCATGGGCCAATATATAACACTACAATTCAGAGCAGGCTGAACCATGATCGGAGGAACGGGAAGACTGCCACAAACAAGCGCATCAAGAGTGGTGCCTGCTTGTATCTGGTCCTGCCCAGCCCCATCGTTCTTGGCACCCCCGGCCGTCTCATTCTCTTTCTTTCAGGAGGAGCTCCTACTCCCTGCTCCACTCTTCCGCCACCACCAGCGGCGGTAATAATCCGCAGCTTCCTCCCTAGTGCTGAAGGCCACGATTTCGTGCTGTAACCAGTGTTGCCAGCTGAGAATGAGTTGCTGGCTTGCTGCTCCTCTTCGCCTCCTGGGCAGCAGCAGTGTTGTTGTCCAGAAGCTCATCCCATCCTCCATATCCGCCACTGCTTTTGTTGCCTCCGCCATCTCCACTGCTGCAGCTCTTGGTGTCATCATCAGCTCCAACGGCAGTTGAGGCAGCAGCAGCAGCAAAATCTTTAGAAACCCATGACTGGTAGTTGTGCCTCCTTCTCCTCCCCTCATAATAGTTGTTGCTGCTGCTGCTGTATCCATTGCCTCGACCACCTGTCGCAAGGTCAGTGGCGTCCTCGGCGTATTCTTCCTCTTGGAATGGTCTCCTCCGCCTGTCATTTTTTTTGAAGAAAATCCCCCACCAGTCATCGCTGTTGCCTTTTCTCCTAAGCAGAAATGATATGGCCGACTGACTGAGCGGGATCGCCATGGCCATTAGAAAGGCCTTTAGCCCCGTTGCAGCAAACATGGACGTAAGCATCACCGGTAGAATGAATCCGTACGTCTTAAATACCTAGGCACAAGTATAGAAAGCAGCAGGCCATTGATCAGTCACTACGACAACAACGAAGCACAGTTATTCGTTCATTGATTTTATTACCGTACTGATCTCATATGCATGCTAAATTACTGATGAAATGAAAAGCAGCAGGAACGGAAGCTGATAAGTCTGGGTTAATTGATTGTAGTGAGCAGTTAAGATCCCAACTAGAGATTTGGTTTAATTAGATATACTAGGCAGAATGAATATATAGTTGCTTGATTTAGTACAAGGAAAAAAAACGAAGAATGGTTTGATTTAATTTCAAGCATTTTTAATTGTAACTCAGAATGACTGGCAAAGGATCTATGATCCCAATCCCATTATACGCTCACTGTACAGTTAGGTAAGGTTCAAGCACGCAAGAAAATTATTGATGACATATAATGAGAGAGCGTAACAGAGGAAGAAAAGAATCTTATACAGTACGTATGTAGCAGACCTTGGAGAACCAGGACTCGTCGAATAGCTTCCCGGCCCAACCAAATCCGGAGAACGCAGCCTCATCCTCGTAATCGTAATCGTCCTCCTCCCCTAGAGAAGACAAACCGTAGTCTTTTTGGCTACCGTCGGGGTCGGACCACCACCTCTTCCTCGTCGCCCTGCTGCTCGTGGTGGCGGTGGTGCTGTCTCTTCCATGGGCGTTGCCCTTGGAGAACCACCAGCTGGAGCAGCGGCGGCGGAGGGAGGAGGAGGAGAGAGGACAGGGCGGTTTGCCTGGTGGTGCTGGAACTGAAGGCGCAGGGGCAGCAGCTACTATCAGTCGGACGCCGAGGCCAACGTCGAGCATTTCTTCATTGCATTAGATTCACATGGCAGAGTTAGTTTTTTCGAGAGGATCATGGTAGAGTTAGGGGACGTAGGATAGATAAAAAAAATGAGGCGGTGGTTCAGGAGAGTAAAGAGGTGGCCGCTGATAGGCACTCTTGGGAGAAAGTTGAGGAGGAAGTTTTCCACTCAGCCTTTAGCTGAAGATTTTAGATAAATTGGTTGGTTAGAGCATCTTCAAGAGTTTCCAAAACACACTCTTAATCTAGGATTTTTGGTAAGATTGAAAAAATTGCATCCCCAACAACTCCCAACCCCATCTCCTAATCTTTTAGCACATGGGAACAATGGCGGAGCCAGGATTCCAACCTTGGGTATTCCCACTTTCACGTAAAAAAACAATTGATAGTTTAGAGTAGTACGTTGCCCATAATTAAAATCACATAAAGTAGTCAAATAACCAATTATTAAGCGATAAAATATGCTAAAACAAACTAAGTAATGAAGAGAACGTACAAAATACTACAATGTTGCTTTTCCTTGCGATTCTTCGTGACCTGAAATTGCAAATTTGTTATTAGTAAAATAGTCACCTTACAATTGCAAATTTGTTATTTGTAAAATGTAAATACTCTTATCCTCAGTTGGACTAGACGTACAGCTCCTCAGCTGCAGAGGCTGCACCGCAGTAGAGCACAGAGGCACGGAGCTGCGTCGGCCCCGGCGCTCCCAGGCCCCCGCCGCCGCCCGCTCGCCGAGTGCCGGTCCCCCATCCCTGCCCCCGCTCCTGCCCTCGCGGCTCTGCCGCCGGCCGCCGCATAGGCGCAGCCGAAGTCACTGGCTCGCTACCCGGTGGCCCCGCGCGCCTGTCGCCGCCTGCCTAGCCCCCACACGCCGGCAGTCCGCAGCTAGGGCTCGAGATTCAGGAATCTAGAAGCGAGAGCGGGGAGCGGGAGGCAGCTGGCTAGGTGAATCGCGGAATCACCTATCCGGTCGTCCGTCCGTCTCGCTCCCCGGTCCCCGCGTTCCGCACCGCCGGCCGCCCCGCGCTCAGCGCCCCAGCCGGACCGCGCCCGTGCCTCCCCCCACGCTCCAGCTCCGGCGAGGCGGCGCTGGGCACCCCCGGCCTCCAGAGAGCTCAGTAGTCCAGTACCAAACAGGTCGTTTTTTTCTTTTCAATTCCAGTACCAAACAGATCTGATATCCCGTGAGCGGTTCAGGCGTTTCTCTACTTTGACTCTTCGATTCAATCCCGGTCGTCCATCACATTGACACAATTCCCCATCCCACATGTCCTCCCCTCGACGAGGGTTTATAGGCACGGCGAGACCACCGTCGGCCACCGCATCTCGCACCCAAACCCAGCGCCTCCCTTGTCGCCGCCGGCGCGCCACCATGGTGTCGCATCACGGCATCCTCCCCGCCGTTAACATCATCTCCGACCACTTCGGCCCCATCGTATCCATAAGGCCGCCTCCTTCCCCTCCTCCTCTCCCCGTCGTTCCTCGCACGCTCGCGAAGCGACACGCGAATGCGCTGCCCTAACACCCGCCTGCCGGGTCCCCTCTTTCGCAGAAAGTGTGTGGCTGCCTTCTGCGCCACGGCGTGCTATCGCTGCAGGAGATCGTCCGCCGCCTCGAGCTCTCGCCCAGCCAGGTGAAGAACTCCCTCCTCATCCTCATTCAGCACAACTGCGTCTAGGCCTACACAAGCCCCAGAGGCAACCCCTCTGCGAAACCTTGCTTATAGCATCTGATTTGGTGCACTATCAGAATTTGATGCCAGTATTGGGTGGCTTGCAGGGGGTGGCGATAAGACGGTGACGCTCTACTTGGCCATCTTCGACAATGTCCTGCACCGGCTGCGCTTCTCAAAGTTCCTTTCTGTCGTCCGTGTGGATATTCCAGAGGTAGTTTATATAAGTTTGATTGCAATCGTTTTGTTTATGCTGTTACATTTTAAAATCGAAACTGGTATAATCAGTCATGACAGTTCTTCTCTAATTGCTGAAGTCAATATGGAGTAAAAGGTAGGTGGATGTGGTTGTTTGGTAGATGCATCTTCACCTTGTTTAATGTTCCAGAGTTGTGGTATGGGCTAGTTGAGTTTCTTAGTGCTACACTGAAGATTGTCAGGACAACCTAGAATGTGCACCATTAGTCAGATCTGGTGCCTTGGGTAGTTACCACTCGACGTTGTCAATGACATTGATGCATTCATAATATTTCAAATTGTACTTGTTATTTGGAGAATAGTGGGTAGTCAATGCTTTCTATCTGGAACTTTGCATTTGGCATGATCAAGCTAGCAATGCCAGACATATTATTCTCCCTCCTCCTATGGGATCTTGTTTGGACTTTGGACTTCTACACTCTTGTTTTGTAGGATCTGAAATATTCCATTTCATGTTTTGTTATGGCCTGGGTTAGGGGGCTGTGCTGTATGAGAGGATTGAGAGTCTTCGAGGGTGAATGGATGCTGAACGGAACACTTGAGAATGGGCATATGCTTGGACGGTGGCACCCAAACACAAGACCGAGGGGCAGATGATGATCTATTAAAATAATATTATTTCAAAAAAAAATCAGAACCTAGATATGTAAATCCAATCTAACTAACAACTTATGTAAAAGTTTTGCATATATGTCATATAGTAACAAACTAATGTCGTTGCATCATCCCTGCTGCTGATCTGGTGTTCCTTGGACAGCCCGCTGGCCTGACATGTCCCTACTCGTAAAGGTTCAGTATGTTCAAGATATTATGTCTTGTTTGCATCCTAAACTTGTTGTATGAGTTATAACAAGTGTTAGAAAGCATTTTGGTTACCAATATTGATCATATATGTTCAAATTGATCAATTAACCTTAGAGTTAGAAAGTGCAACTTATGATGCCCATCCTAAATGTTCAATTTAATTGGTTATGCTCTTTTGCGATTTGCTAACTGCAGTAGCAATTATTGGTTTGTGACAGTTGATAAGACTATAAGAGAACTAACAGGCATAGGCTTAACTCTTAACATCAACTTCTCTTTAGTCGATGTACTACTTGTACCACTGAAATTGTCATTCATTCCATTTTATTCTCTGTCAGAAAGGACTTGTTGTAACTTTAGGTCCCAACATATTTAGTCATAGTTAGCTTTTTGATGACGTTTTGCAACTCGCAGTCAGAAGTTCTTCTCTAAGGATTACTTCAGAATGGTAGGCTAACATTTGAGCAACTTGTGGAGCGAACAATATTTAAAGTACCAGAAGGTCAGTATTTTTATTGATGCGGTTATCTTACCATTCTTTGCTCTTTTTGTGATAATGTTTGCTTTCTTTTCTGTCTAAACTTTGGCCTTTTAGCCATAACATTTTCAAAGTTATCCTTCCCATTAATGGGTCAGTAAATGTTTCAGGCAGCCCCTTACCAACAAGGGAAGAAATACGAATGAACTTCAACAAACTTGTATATGCGCATTATGTGGAACGTTGCCCAAAACCGGTACCTTTTTTCGATCCTCTTGCAGTTGAACAACCTACATCCACAAGGAAACGAGCTCCTAAAGTAAGTCACTTTCATTCCTTATTAGCCGTTATGGTTATTAGTTTGTAGTTTTTAAAATCTGATCATATTCTATTCCATACTCCTTTTGTTTCATAGTAATATTCTATTTTCTTGGAGTGTGTTGTTTTATTACCTTATTAATAGAGAAGCCATTTGATAGGGGCATGAATGGTGAGATATAATGGAATGTCTTAGATTTAATGCCTTATTTTTTGTGGGTTTGGACTTGTATTGTGTAGGGATTGATAAAAAATGACTAGCCTATTCATAGCCAAAAGCTAATTTATTTGAAGAAAATTTGCGAACTCAATGGTTGAAGAATGGCAGAGCAGGGATAGAAGGAAATAGCACACTATTGCTCCCTCATGACAAAGAATTGCACATCTTGTTTTGGTTCTGGGCTGTTGATGAATATGTACATTGTCCTTACATTTTTCATGTTTAACTGGCTTGTAGTCTTTTTTTGTAACCTCATACCACGGTCTTGATCTTGTTATATGTTATAAATATACATGGTGATTGTCTGGGTGAGCTGACAAATGTATCTTTGGGACAGACTGTTGAGACGGTTCTTTCACTTGAGCAGAAAGTTGTCTGTACTGCAGCTCTATCTGATGCTGAAAGATTTTCTCAGATACCATAGTTCATGGAAGGGTCATTGAGTGCAAATGATGGCCATCATGCTGTTGCTGGTAATAAGGTATTATGCTCTGTTTAGTTATAGTGATCATCATGTTGCAATGCGGTGGTGTCATGCCATTACAATAGTGAAGTGTAAATGCTAATCCTGTTTCTGCTTTCCTATTGTTATTAAACTAGAAAAGGCAAACACGGTGTTCTAGCCTTCTAGGTTATTTGCTAATGAAAACTATGATTGATTGACCAACAAAATTGAACTGCATGGTCTAGGTGATACATAGACCAAAATTAGCGCTGAACCTGTTTTTTTGGCTTAAATTTGCTCCAGATAACACATTTGACTTTGATGTAGATCCAGATGAGCATGGTTTTTGATATCCAAACTACTTTCTTATTTTGAACTTAAACTTTTCCTACATGATTTTTCTGGTGTAGATTTACTTATTTGGTCCAACTGAGGATCATGTAGTCCTCATTAGAATCCACCAAACTATGGACATATGTATCCCCTTTTTTTGAGTTGCAATATTTCTTCTTTTCTGAGATATTAGCCATGCATCATCATTGTGGTCTTTTTTTTCTTGTTAGAATTTATATCGTATTTGCCTTTTCATGGGAGCTTTAAATCATGAACCATTAGCTTTCATTCTATTTTGATACTGTTTGAAAATATGCATGGGATATGTTACTCTGTTCATCTCCTAATTATCTTATCATTTTTTCTCAGCGAAAACATGAAGCCTTACAAGTTGATGAAGAGGATTCGATAATTGCAGAAAGTGAAGTACTTTGGCGGATAAATTTTGAGAGGTTCATATTTTGTTTAAAGAAGAAGGTGTGCTTATGTACCTACTTTATAGCATATATGTAGTTGCATGTATTCGTTTTCTTTTCCCTCTGTATTTGTGCTTCGATTTGCATGTCTGCAGATGGGAATTCTTGAAGCAGGATCCTAGTATAGCTAGATGCAAACCAATTCATTCTACTTTGTCTTTTCTTGTGAACTAAATATTCTCTTTTACCAGAAACAACAAGGGGCAGGTTTTCTAAATAATATATCGTTAAATAGGATTAAGAGCAGAATGAGCTACAAAAAAAAAAGGGTTTGCAATTCCATTTTTTCCAAGAAAAAGATATGCTCATTACATGTCAGAGGTTGGTAAATCAAACTGTCTTCTCTATTAAGGAAAAAAGAAACCTTGGCCATGGGGAGAGATGTCCCCTTGCTTTGTCATAAGAGGAGTACTAAACCCTTTCATAAGGTACTCACATAACATGACCTGTGAGCACCTAGATTCAAGCCTGGTTCTGGTTGGCTGCCTCTTAACTAGAGCCTCTACCAACCGAGATAATACTTCTTTATTATTATTATTTTCTCAAACATGGAGGAGAGCTATGCATCATTATATTTGGAAGAAAACCAAGCTATTTGCTCAATGGCTGGTTCTCTCTATAAAGACATCTTACATAAGCTTACCATCTGTTCCACTGAATTGCATGTACTTGCACCGTAGTTATTATGTTATTTTTTAAAATCTTCTGAACAGCTCCACTCCAAAATAAGAAAACTGTTAGCTTCTCATTTTTGTATATATATTTATTTGTATGTACATGCATGGGGTTAACATCTCATTTATTATGTATTTATTTAACTGTACATGTGGATGCTTTTGAGAGAAGCGTGATCTTGAACTTCCTACTGCTTAGTCTTTCTTCCTGTACTGAAGTTCTGTGCAGAACGAAAGAAAGCAAAGATGAGGCTTGGAACACTTGCTATATTGGAAGCATTTTTTGAGGCCAATGTAACGAACAACGACAACAAGACTGGTAATACCCACTATCAATATGTCAAATTCTCTCGTTACTAGATCCTCAAAGTATCACAGCATTAAACAATATCAGAAACTGAGGCTAGTAAGTGTTTTAGTGAGCCATTTTTTTTAGAATAAAAATAATATATTTATTTTAGCTTACAAACACTAAATGTGACGTGGAGCTATAAGTTGGAACCCTGCCAAAATGGGTCCTAGTTAAAATATTCATAAGAATTCATGAAGAGATTATAAAATTTACTGTTTTGTACTCAACCACAATGTGATAATTGTTCATTAAGCAGATAATTCTGAACCTATTAGTCTACAAGGGTCTTCTCTGAACCTGATACTTGGAGTATGCCATGCGTTTCATCCGTTTCAAAATACTTGAGCAACTACCCTATATGTAAAAGACCAAAGAGGCATAGAATCTTGTTAACAATGGTATTTGACCATTATTAATGACATAAGAGGCCATTCGACATCTTTACATCATTAGTAGGAGAGGTGAAGGATTCGGAAAAAGCATAAATAACTACATTGTTGATCTCTCCGCTGGACAACCATTCTAAAATGAGGAATCCTGATAAACTGGTAAACTATCTTGAAATGAAGGAACTAATAGTTAGTTCTACACTGGTATATGGCCTTTGTTAAAGTTGCATTGTTTCATCTTTCTTCTGAGCCACTAACCCTAAATCTTAGCAGCTTGGCACGCGGGATGAACCCACGCTCCGTATTGTGGGAACTTTTCCCTGAAATGAGGAAGTAGGAACTTAAGTTGTCCCAAACGCCGTTGGATTGTCATCCACAGGGACAATGAAACGGTGCAAAGAAACCGCTGCAGGCAGCTTCCTCTTCCTCGCTAACACGTATCTTAAGTCCAGACTGCGCCACTGCCTAGCCGACGAGGTTGTCCAGGTTGCAGTGTTGCGCTCCATAGGTGCATGTGTTGTGGGCTTGTGGCAGAGGTGTTGCGATGGCGGGCGAAGTCGATAGCTCTAGAGAGATTAAATGGAGCATGTGCTACCCATTTTAGAGGGTTGTTGGCGCAAGATGGTGGCCAGAGGTGTGATTTAAGGTGGCAGCTGCACCTGTTGTGGCAGAGAAACAGTGAGAGGGAGAAGAGGCGGTGGCGGGCGGGTGCATGCATGTGCTGGAAGAGAGGAGATTAGGGTAAAGAATTTGTGGTGGGCCAGTGGGTTGTGAGTGGGCTTAATGGGCAACGAAATAGAAACCCAGACCTATCACTTCTTCCATTTTCTTTCGTTTTTAACTTTTGATGGAATCAGCACATTGCTCACCAATTGCTATGTAGATACAAATATGAATTTGTGTTCTGTGGTGGATCCTGAATAATCTGGAACACGTTCTTCGTCCCAGGAACATAGTTCGGCTATATTTGGTACATGTTCCCTGTCTCGAATGAACAACACAAAGTGGTGTCGCGCATACTCATTCCTCGACCCCATTGATCCGGGAATTTGTCTGCTGAGCCCTTATTTTGTCGTCTCGTCTCTTATGTGATCCTCAATTTAGATGGCCAATAAAAAGGGGCATTTAGTTGTATACTGTCATTTTAAAGGATTTTGTTCTGGTGGGTGGATAGGGACTTGAATTCAGAAGAGACACTACCTCTGTCCGGAAAATAATGCAGTTGTAGTCCTATCTCTAGTCAAACATCTTAAGTTCAGCAAAATTTAGATAAAAGAGTATCAATATTTATGGCACCAAATATATATAATATGGAAAGTACATTCCATGACGAATCCAATGATATTTATTTGGTATCATAAATATTGATACCTTTTTGTATAAATTTGATCAAAGTTAAGATGGTCAAACTATCAAAATTTTGATTGGATCTTGGTCGAAGCATCAACTATTTGTGGCTGATGGAAATGTTTTAGTAATGAATTCTTGACTTTTGCAGTGACATCACCAATAGATGGAATTTTGGAGAGAGTAGGACAAAAGGAAGGAGGCACGTCAATGACTTTAGATCAGATAATAAGTGTATTGAATGATTTAGAGTGTACTTCTACCACTAATAACCCAGAAGAATTCACATTCGGTAAGGACCCATACTGCTATGCATAAGTTTGGTACATCCATTTCCTATAACTGATTTTTTTGTACATAAACTGGAGACTGGACTGTTGCGTCACACACTGCAGAAATTGTCTGGTTATGAACTTTAGTCTGGTTGACTGATTTAAATCCTACCTGATGAAAACTTTAATTGATCAATTTTGTATGATTATTTGGTACAAACATAAAGTCCCATCAAAGTACGTGACCCTCATCAAGGACATGTACAACAATGTTGTGACTAGTGTTCAAACAAACGATGGTAACACAGATTACTTTCCGATTAAAATTGGACTTCATCAAGGGTCAGCCTTAAGCCCGTATTTCTTTGCCTTGGTAATGGATGAGGTTACCAGGAACATACAAGGGGATATCCCTTGGTGTATGTTGTTCGCTGATGATGTAGTGTTAGTGGACGAAAGCCAGGCGGGAGTAAATAGGAAACTAGAGTTATGGTGGCAAACCCTTGAGTCTAAAGGTTTTAGATTGAGCAGAACTAAAATCGAATACATGAGATGCGACTTTGGCGGAGTTGTACAGGAGGAGGGAGATGTGAGTTTGGAAGGTCAAGTAGTAGCTAAGAAGGATACCTTTCGGTATCTGGGATCGATGCTACAGAGGGATGGAGATATTGATGCGGACGTTAGCCATATAATCAAAGCAGTGTAGATCAAGTGGCGACAAGCTTCTGGCATTCTCTGTGACAAGGGGGTACCACAAAAGCTAAAAGACAAGTTCTATAGAACAGCGATTAGACCGGCTATGTTGTATGGAGCAGAATGCTGACTTACAAAGATTCGACATGTTCAACAACTGAGTGTTGCAGAAATGCATATGTTGCGATGGATTTGCGGTCACACAAGAATGGATCGAGTTCGGAACGATGATATACGTGATCGCCTAAAGGTAGCACCAATTGAAGAAAAGCTTGTCCAACATCGGTTGAGGTGGTTTGGCCATGTCCAAAGAAGACCTCCAGAGGCACCAGTGCATTGTGGAGTCCTAAGCCAAGCTAATAATATGAGGAGAGGTAGAGGAAGACCGAAATTGACATGGGGGAGGCAATAAAAAGAGATTTGAAAGCTTGGGATATACCTAGAGATCTATGTTTAAATCGGAGTACTTGGAAAGCAGCTATTGAAGTGCCTGAACCGTGACTTGGGCCTCTTGGTGGGTTTCAACTCTAGCCTACCCCAACTTGCTTGGGACTGAAAGGCGTTGTTGTTGTTGTATTTGGTACAAACAACCTTAAATTTGCTCGCAAAATGAACTAGCTTGCGACGTTGTTGGTCCTGATCCTTGTGGTTATGACTTAACAGTTAAACATGCTACTTCCTCCGTTTTTAAATATATATAATGTTTAGGACAAGCTAATCAGTTGTAATCCTCTTTGTAGATTTGAATAAATTGGTTGAGACATGTCGAAATGATGAGGTACATGAATGCTTTACTGTTTCATCCTTTATTATTCAGGGTTAGATAAATACTCCCTCCATTTTAAAATTTAAGGGGTTTTAGTTTTGTCCTAAATCAAACTTCTCTAACAACTAAGTTTATAAAAAAAATACATCAACATCTACAGCACCAAATTAGTTTCATCATGTCCACCATGGCACCATGAAATATGTCTTGATAGTGCATTTATTTGGTATTGTAGATGTTAAATATATTTTTCTATAAACTTGGTCAAACTAAAGAAGTTTAACTTAGGAAAAACAAAAACCTCTTAAACTTTGTAATGGGGGGAGCTTCCTTTAATCATATTCATATTGGCTCCAATTCTTTGTGCATTGTAGATAGAGTCTCTTGTGAAAAAGAAACATGGGCAAGAAGCTTACACAATCTTTAGGTTATTGCTGAAACAAGGCTGTCCAGTTGAGACCGATGAAGTAAGGAATCTTCTATGCTGAGGATTTTTTTTCTCTTTTCTGTGTTATTATCAGTTGCACTTTAATACTTGTTGCATCAATTATATTTTATCTTCATTATGTGGTGGTGTTTTTTAACAAAATATTCATTAAATGGCACAGTTTCGTGTTGCAAACTTCAGTGTGTAATGCTGGACTTTCATCACAATTTGCAGATTACTGACAGGACAATTCTAGACAAGCAGGTTGTTCATGAAACTCTACAAACTTTGGAAGGATGAATACATAGATTCAGAGGTTTGTTGTATAAACCGAACACACAGCATTTCCTCCTTAGACAAGCTTTCTGCTTCATCCTTAAGATTTTGGCACTTTACTTTGGAGTCGCTGCATCAAATATTTCCCATGGAAGACTAACAGTGTATTTACTGCAATGTTTTCAGTCTCTAACCAACTTTAATGATGTGAAAGAGGTTAATTGGTTTAGTATGTCATTTAACAGTGCAAGTCTGGACAGTGTCAAAACCTTTTCTTAGAGTTAGCAGCCCCTGGATCTTTGCTTATGTTTGTTGTGGACAAATAATGTGAAATAGAATGAGTGGGTTGGAGTGAAGGAAGATATGATTATCTACTTTGGATGTTTTTTTACATTCCTGAACCAGACAGATGACATTATCATCCTTAAAAATTTGTTATGATATGTTGTGTAATTCAAGGAGTGGGTTTAGTTCCCTATAGGCACATGCACCCCGTAACTACCCCTTCTGTTGTGCATCTTAGTGTTTGCTACACCTTAGGCTTACTCATTAAGAATTTAAAGTTCAAAATGGTGTAGGACATATCACAGATCCTACTTGACAATGCACATGACAGTTGCACAATGCATGTTTTTGACATGTATGTGCCAGCGGGGGTGGGGGCACTTGCATTTCTGTATTACATGTATGGTGTGATGGAGGAGGCTGGGTTAGCCGAAAGATGGTTAGACATCGGAGGACACAAGGGAACACTAATTTTTCAGTGTCAGAAGGGGTAGATTGGTAGAAAATGCCCCCAAGCCAGGTTCAAACAAACAAGTGTCAGTAGTATGAGTCCCATGGACTAGTGATTTCTTTTTCATGTTCATAAGGCTCACTTCAATGTTCCTTAAAACCTTAAACTCCTAGCCTACACCAAGACTTGTATGGCAAGTTGTTTACACCAATAAACCATAGCAATGTCCTCTACCCTAAAGTTCCACGATAGCATAGTTGGAATTGATTGCGTTGTGCTAGCAATTATATCTAGCTCATTAATGAGCTAAACATAAACAATTAATGGGAAAGTGGGTTTTCCAACTGCCAATTCCAAAGTTTCAGGCTAGAATAGCAAATGTCTGGTGCTTCTTTTATCACTATTTTTAAGCTTTTGTTTGCTCTTAATGATTTACTAGTAGATTGCAAATTAGTTATTTTTTCTACAAACATGTCAAGTTTAGCATTAATACTTCTTCAGCAATATTACTAAATAGGGATGCAATTTTATGGCAACTTCAGTTTTTTATTTTTCTAGAGCAAAATTCGGAATGTTTCAACCTGATTGACAGATAGACTAAGCCTAGCAAATGAGCACTCTGTTCTTTTTGTCGGGCGAGACCACTCTTCTTGGATTCAGCAGTGAAGACAATCACTGAATTTGTGAATTGTTACACTTATCACTTATATTTGTAAGACATAATCTGCTGCTGACCTCTCACTCTTTGTTTGCTGCACAACAGATTTGGCAATAGGTCATTCTCTGCTGCCCTAGTTGCTGTAGCAGTAGGGTAATAGGCCACCACTGGTACATTAGTTGGTAGCTAATACATCAGTCATGTCTTGGTAGTGGGCTGAGGTAGGAATTGTACTGCCACTACTAGGAGTAGTTGGGGCTGTACTCAGCCATGCTCATGTGTACCTTATAGTTTGTACATGAGTTGTATATACTCTACCTCTATGCAATGAAAATAGGCAGTTCAGTTGCCACAAACCAAAAGAGCAGAGCTCTGGCCAACGCTGGTGCTCGTGCTGTGTGTGTGTGCCTATGCTCATCCCTTTTCTACCTCTAGCCATAGTGAGTGAGTGTGTGTGCTGGTAAGCTTACTGCTTACCTATGCAGGGCAGTGAGAGACCAACAAGTGGCATCGGAGCCGTACAGGTTCGCCTGCATTGCCGAACTAATCGCCAGCGATGCCACCTGGCTCGGAGGAGATGGGCGACAGCAGCGGTGTCCGCTGTGGGAGGCGGCAGTGCTGCTAGGGCTACCTAGCCACGATAGGAGGTCGTCGTGCGCACGGTGCGGGAGGTCAGCGGCACTACTTGGCCACAACTGACTCGCACCAACTATGGCGAATAGGCGGTGACCATGAAGGTCAAGCTCAGAGCCCGACGACTTTGGAACGCCATCGACAAGGGCATCGACGTACAAGACATGTCAGCGCTGGAGGCCATCCTTGCTGCTGTGCATGCGGAGTACCGAGAGCCGTTGGGGGTGAAGAAGTCTCCTAAGGAGGCATGGGCGATTGGGCGATGTGCGTCGGCTCTCATCGCGCAAAGAAGGCGACAGCCCAGCTGATGAAGAAGTACGCCAACCTCAAGTTCAAGGATGGTGAGTCGGTAGAGGACTTCTCCCTTTGCCTGTAGTCGCTCATCAGCAAGCTGGGGAGACACGGTGTCACCATCGCCGAAGAAGAGGCGGTCTCTAAGTACCTCCACTCCGTGCCGGTGAAGGACATCCAGATCGCTCTCTCCATAGAGATGATGTTGGACCTGTCCACCCTCACCATTGAGGATGTGACAGGCCGTCTGCGGGTGGTGGACGAGCGTATGGAGCAGGCCACAACAATGACGGACAACGGCAAGCTGTTACTGACAGAGGAGTGGGCTGCTCGGATGAAGGAAAAGAAGTCTGGGGAAGCCTTCTCCAGCCGCGGTGGCGATGGCAAGCGTCACAGCAAGGCTTCTTCGGAGAAGAAGAAGAAGGTCGACCCCAACGCCTGCCGGCGCTGCAGGAAGATAGGCCATTAGGCAAAGGAGTGCCCAAATCACAAGCAGGAGAAGAAGGTTGAGGCTCATTTGGCGTAGGTTGATGATGATGATGAGGCCACTCTCCTGATGACGATGTTCTGTGCACTGCATGACGTTGAGGCCAAGGAGAAGGGAGAGGTGATGGCGGTGGAGGAGCACAGGAAGGCTCTGAAAGCTGTCAACCTCGACGAACCGCGCGCCCAAGTCCACCTCGGACGTGTGGGTGGCGAGCAGGAGCAGCGGTGGTACCTAGACTCTGGCGCCAGCAACCACATGACGGGCTAAAGGCAGCCTTCTCTGAGCTCGACGGCAACGTGACCGGCACGGTGAAGTTCGGTGATGGCTTAAGGGTGGTGATCCGAGGGCGCGGCACCATCATCTTCAGGTGCCAGAATAGCGAGCACCGCTCGCTGACAGATATATATTACATCCCGCAACTGTGTCTAAGCATCATCATCATTGGCCAGCTGGATGAGCGCGACAGCGAGGTGCTAATCAAGGACGGCGTCCTCAGGATCAGGGACCGGGAGCAGCGGCTTCTTGCCAAGGTGAAGAGGTCCCGGAACCGGCTGTGCCTGCTCAACTTGAAGGTGGAGAAGCCCATCTACTTGGCTGTGCAACGCACGGAGGAGCCGTGGCTGTGGCACGCCCGCTATGGCCATCTCAGCTTCGACGCCCTCGGCAAGCTAGAAAAGATGGTCTAGGGGTTGCCTCACATCGAGCACGCAGGCGAGCTGTGTGACAGCTGCCTGGCCGGGAAGCAAAAAAGGCTGTCGTTCCCGAAGATGGCGAAGTACTACGTGGCAGAGGCCCTCGAGCTGGTACATGGTGGCCTCTGTGGTCCAATCACGCCGGCGACGTACGACGAGTGCAAGTACTTCATCTTGCTGGTGGATGACTGCAAATGGTTCATGTGGCTACAGCTTCTGACCAGCAAGACCGAGGCAGTGGAAGCGGTTAAGGAGTTCAAGGCACGCGCGGAGGCGGAGAGTGGCAAGAAGCTACGCGTGCTGTGGACTGATCGCGGCGGCGAATTCACCTCTGTAGAGTTTGCAGCGTACTACGCAGATCAAGGTGTGGTGCGCCACCACACCGCACCGTACACGTCGTAGCAGAATGGCGTGGTGGAGAGGCGTAACCAGACAATGGTCGGCATGGCAAGGTCGATGATGAAGGCTAAGAAGATGCCGACGGAGTTCTAGGGAGAGGCGGTGACCATGGCGGTGTTCATCCTCAACCGCGCGCCCACCAAGGCCCTGAAGGGCAAGATGTCGTTCGAGGCTTGGCATGGACGGAAGCCGAATGTGTCATTCCTCAGGACATTTGGCTGCGTTGGCCATGTCAAGAACACAAAGCCCCACCTCGGCAAGCTGGAGGACAGAAGCACACCCATGGTGTTGTTGGGCTATGAGGAGGGCAACAAGGCCTATTGGCTCTATAATTCCAAGGGAGGCAGGGTGGTGGTCTCTAGGGATGTAGTGTTCGACGAGATGATTGCTTGGGATTGGGAGGATCAAGGCATCGGGGAAGCTACTGGTGTCAGCAACACATTTGCTGTCGAGCACTTGGTGATCCAAGGAGGAGGAGATGATGGCACTGAAGAGTAGGCTACTGCTGGAGAGCAGGCTCCACCAGCAGCGGCGCATTCACCTCCACCACAGTCCCCTGCGACGGTAGCACAGGGGACACCCCCACTGGAGTTCGCATCACCACCCACCGACATCGACGAGTTCATGGATGCTTTCCATGACGGCGACGAGGTTCGGTTCAGGCAGGTGGACAACCTTGTCGGCGAAGGGGGAGCTCCTAGGCTGGCTAGCTGGCTTCTGGATGCCCCATAACTACTCCTTGTCAGCGCAGAGGAGCCATCGATGTTCACAGTGGCTGAACGCGACGCCAATTGGCACTGGGCGATGTTGAAGGAGATGAGGGCGATCGAGGATAATGGGACATGGGAGCTGGTGGATCCACCGGTGGGTTGCAGGCCGATCGGGTTGAAGTGGGTCTACAAGGTTAAGCGGGACGAGCGCGGCGCCATTGTCAAGTACAAGGCTCGGCTCATCGCCCATGGCTTCGTGCAGCGTGAGGGCATCGACTTCGAGGAAGTCTTTGCTCCGGTGGCGCTAATGGAGTCCATTCGCTTGCTGTTGGCCATGGCAACAGCGAAGGATTGACGCGTCCACCACCTCGACATCAAGTCTGCATTCCTTAATGGCGAGCTCGCGGAGATGGTCTTC